CCATGCCATCCGTCCTTGCAGCTGCACGAGCACGAGCCGCGATCCACCGACTCCGTCCCGGGCATGTAGCACGCAGCGTTGTCGTTGCATGTGCCGCACCCAAACACCACCACGCCCTCCGGAAACACGCCGTCGTACGACACCTCCTCATCGCCCTGCCTGTTGCACCCCACCACAAACCGTGCGGGTGACGTCACAATCGAGTTCGATGAAGTAATTTTCGCAAAGGCTTTACTCGAGTCCGCCTGACGGTTGTGTGCAAGCGACACGGTGGTGCCGCTGCCCGATAGTCTAATATTGTAACAGGAATACGGCATACTCAATACTGAGGCTGCGCTCACGTTGTTGCCCTCCACACGCCACTGCGCACCATCCTGAAGAGCAACCGAGCCGTACAAATACAACAGCGCAGAATTCAGAGCCTCCGTGCTGCCAGTGAAGGTGCAGTCAGCCACCCTCAGCAGCCCCGCGGAGCTCACAGTAGTATCCCCGTAAAAATAAATGCCGCTGGCTGCGCTCATAGTGTTGTTCTCGACGTCAAAATAGCCGCCGTTCTTCAAGTCAACAGTGTGAACGTATACGGCCGATGCCGAACCGTAATCCTTCTTCTTTGATCTCAGCGTGTTTCCCTTCATAATGATCCCGCCACCATCAACGACAACAGCGACGGGGAAATAAACTGCGTAAATATCCCCCTCCATGTTGTTGTCGAGCAGCAGCAGCGCCGAGTTCGCACCCAAAGTAAACCTTGGAAAGTGAATGGCGTAACCCAAGTTCGTCACAAGCTTACTGCCCGCCACCAGCATCTGGGAACTCGCGCCAAAATCTCCCTCAAACTCCAGCTCACCAGAATCCAGCATCGAGGATGTCACGTTCACGTGCACGCGCGCACCACTCCCCCTGATCGACAGGCCCATGAGGACGCACTGCAGCAGCGTGATGTTGAGTGTCTGTTCAGGCGCGTTAAAGTACGACAGGTCCAGCAGAATCGCGGCGGTGAAGGTCACGTTGACGAAGCACAGGCCACGCACACCGGGATCAGGATAGTCCACGGAGCTGATGCTGCCACCGTGCACGCAGCGGACCTCCGTGTCCTTCGCATCTGAGAGCGGGAGCGGCCCAAGGCCGTCCGGAACCGCAGCTGGCAGACACGTGTCACCGTAGCCGCCAGCAGCGCACACACACTCACAGCCGCGGATGCTGCTCGTCCTCGCAGCAAAGCACACGGCGCCCACGGTACACGTGCCACAGTCCAGTGTCGTCACGGGTGTCCTAATATAGAGGTCTTCATCGTAATCAGTTACAGGAGATCCTCTTAGCTCGTTGCACGTGCCGTAGATGATCGGGCTCGTGTCGTCTTGTGCCGACCAAAAACTTGTCATGTATGCAGTGGTCAACGAATAGGAGCCGTACGTGAAGTTGTTGTAAAGTATCGACCACACACTCTGATCGCGGAAAGCCACGCCGTCGTATTTGTCCACGTGCACAACGTAGGCGGTGCGGAACTCGTTGTCGCGATGCACCAGCCAGCCGCCACCAGTCACAGTCAGCGTGGTTGCCATGAGCATGGCGAAGCCAAGACGGAACTCGCTGGACACAACCTGCAGCACGCTGCCGCCATCCACCGCAACGTCCCCAAACACAAGCGCGCCTTTGTAGTACTCGGTGCTCGGCGCACTCCACGAGCTGTTCTGTATGGAGAACACGGAGCCGCCGCTGACACGCAGGTCCGACGCAAGAGCGTACATCACGTGCGACTGCGAATTGACAGCGCAGTTGTCCATGTAGAAGACGCTGGACAGGTGCACGCCAAGGCCGTGCTCCACGAGGATAGCAGCGCACGAACCCCCGCCACACACCAGCGTAGACCGCGTCATGACAAACCGTGTCGACAGAAGCCGGACACCGTCCAGGACAAGCGCGGGGCCGTACCGGGATTCCTCGTGGTCAGGGGTCGTCGGCACGTACCGCGAACCGCCAACCGTCGCGCGCAGCGTTGAGTTCGCCAGCAGCACACTCGAGTGCAGCGGCATCGTGCCATGCAGCACAATCGTGCCCTCCAGCGACGTCACATTCGTCATGTTGACGAGGGCGTGCGGAACCAGGCGCGCCGTGCTCTCGCTGAGGCCGCCAATCCGCAGCTGCGCGCCGCCCGCAAGCACGCAGTGGCGCAGCGTCACTTTCAGCGCGTCAGCGGACAAGTCCATCGAGCGCAGGTCCACCGCCACAGTGATCGGTCCGCTGAACACCACCGAGTCGAGGCACGCCGTCGCACGTCCGCCGCCAACCGTCACGGACTCCGTCAGCGTCACGCCACTCACGCAGTCCTGCGCAGTATCGCCACCACCGCCGGCCCTCGCAGGCGGCACGTCGAACGGCAGGCACGCGTCGCCCACACCGCCAGCGCGGCAGCTGCACACGCACTCGGAGAACGACGCCGTCAGCGCATCGAAGCACGCCAGCGCAGCCGCACAGCCGTCGCACGGCACCACGCTCACGGAGATCAGGCCGGCCATGCGGTAGTCGCCGCTGCTCTGCAGCACGCGGCCGCCGGCACGGTTGCACTGCACGGACACGGCGCCGCTCGTAATCGTCAGCCCGGAGACAAGCGTCGCACCAGTGGCAGCGCAGCGAGCAATCGACACGGCGCCGCCGCTCAGCGTCACACCCGACAGCGACGCCACAGACGACGCCTCGCCCACCGCCCACACGTCGCGCAGCTCCAGCCACCCGCCGACACCGACCGTCCCACCGTCGCAGCGCACCAGCGACGACGCGACAGACCCCTCGACGCCCACGAAGCGCAGCACCGACTCAAACACCGCAAGGCGCTCGCCAAGCACAATGCCGCCGCCGCTGCTCACAACCGACACGTTCGTCAAGGAGAACACCGAGTGGCTACGCAGACTGAGACGCGACGAGGACGACACATGCATCGCGGACGCGGTCGGACCGCCCGACGCCTCCAGCAACACGCCGTCAAGCACCATCGCGCTCGACAGCAGGTCCACACCGCCGCCAACGTGCACCGCCGACCCGCCCGCCCGCGACGACCTCAGCACAGTGCTGCTCACACGCAGCTGCGTCTGCAACAGCGACGTCGCGTGCAGCACAAGCGGCGACGCCACCGCGTCCGCCGGCCCGCTCAGCTGGGAGTAGCGCATCGGTCCCGGCGTCACAATCGCCGAGTCACGGACCGTCACGTTCGTGCGTGCCGGCAGGTTGTGCACAAACACGAGCGAGCAGTAGCTCCCGGACAGCCCGCTCACGCTCACCTCCAGGCTCCGGTCACTCGCCGGCTCGCCGCTGTAGCCCCGCACGTAGATCTGCGCACCGCCGTCGCACACGCAGTTCCTCAGTTCGATGCGCAGCGCGCCGGGAAGCATCGCCGCAACGTCGAACACAACAGCCACGCCGTTCGTGATGCACACGCCGTCCATCAGCACCGTGTCCACGGCGCGGCCCACCGTGATGGCTCTGTCCACCGTGCCGCCCCGCAGTCGCAACGCCACCGCATGCACTGCGGGCATCCACGCCGCCGCCGCAACCAGCGCCAACAGAACAAGCAGCGCCACACGCACAGTCGCAATGGCCCTGTGCCGCACACGGTGCCGGCTGTGCGGACACGCACCCACCGCAGACCACATCCACCAACCCAAACAGGTATCAACACGACTGTCGTGGTGTGTCGCACTCGTCTCGTCGACCGTGCCTCCTGCTCCGCAAATCCCTTCCTACAGATGCCAAATACAGTGACCCGATTCCACCAGGTCGTTATCCCACTGCTACTTCTACTAATACTACTACAACTGCTGCGAGTAATTACTAAAAGCTTGAAACGCTAGTTGTGGTGGTCAAGCCACAGTATCTCTATCTGCATGGTAAAACAAGGAAGAGGCAGCAGCAACAGTAGCCAGACACAGTAGCACGCAGCGGCATCCGGCCACATATATTCCACATCACAGCCAGCGACACAAAGACGCGCAGACACAGTCAGCCCAGTGATGCCATCGGCCTCCCACCGCCCGAGCAGCCCCGCACAACCGCCGTGCAGAGTGGCGGGACCCCGGCCAAGGGGCAAATGACCATTGGCACCGCCCTTCTCACCAAATGCCTCCAACACATGACGACCCCGATGCCGTGGACAACACGCAAAAGCCGAGGCAGATACACGTGGCATTGTTGCAACCGCCAGCCATCGAGCGCGTCCGTGAACGTGGTGGTGGTGGCGCGGAAGAGGGGTGGTGAGTGCGTCAGTTGCCAGTAGTCAAGGCGTCGTTTCTCGCTCACGTGGGTCGGCATTGCAGAACAAAGAGCGGCATCATGCGCGCACGGCATGCACAAGGGCAAAAGGGAGGAACAAAGAAGCACGGTGGCGGCACTCAGCCACGGGGGACAAGGGTCCACATCGACTCTGCGGTCGGTTGACCTTCAGACGTCCGGTTTGTAATCACGCCGCCGCGCAGTTCGTGTGTCTGCAGGAGACTGGGGGATGGAGGGAGGGAAGAGAGAGGCGGTGCGGCCCGCATCGATCCCGGTTGGGTGTGACAACGGTGAGGTCATCTCGTCAGGTCGCCGGCAGCAAAGACGGTCGCCGTCAGCGGCGGTCAGTGCCTTCCTTCTCCCACCGCAGCGCCACTCCACCGACGCCGTCGCCCGCCTCCTCCCCACCGACACAACGAGGAGACAACAGCAGGAGACGTAACGCCCGCAACGATCAGGCTGCCGCAGAGTCTCGTTGCAGCCGCAATGACCAGACGAGTGGGATGCAAACAAAAAGAAAAAACAAAAAACAATTGCCCCCTCAAGCATCTCAGCACAACGTGGAAGCACAGCAGCCGGCACACAAGGCGCAACGCCGTTCAGTGGCTACCAGCACTCACCCTCAGTTACGCGGCAA